GGGGGGATGGTCACGCCGCAATCCCTTCTCCTCCATTCTCCTCTCGGGATCTTGGGCACGCACGCACACGCGCCTGGCGTGAGTTTTAAGCCACCAGGTCCAGGACGTGAACCGCGGTCGACTACGTGGGAGTCCAGCAGCATAGCCATTACACTAACTGCTGGTTCCCTGCCTGATGTGAGTTTCAAGCCATCAGATCCAGGACTCGAACCATGGTCAGCCATGTGGGAGTCCAGTGCTTCAGTCAGCATGCCATTGGCTGGCCCCAAGTGTTTCTTCTTCTATTTGTTTCAAAGAAACAGAAGCACTGAGATGGGCCAGTTCTGTGGTACAGTAGTAATGCACGACTCCAGGGAAGCCTAATTTCACATAGCAACCACAGTTTGGAACCCCTACCCAGTTGTCATGAAACACTCCAGGCATGCACGTGAATATCTAAGATCCAATGGGGTGGAGGAAGGAGATCATAGCATGACCAGACCCTGCAGAGATTCTCTTTCCTCTCTCACACAAGTATACACACATGCTTTATCATGAATAAAGAATTTAAAAAAAGAGAGAGAGAGAAGCACTGAGAGGCATAAGGACCAGAGAGAGAGATATAAAACCCCTGTCTACCTTTAGAGTAAATGATAGAACCAACTCTAGCAATTGAAGAGGTCAGTACAGTAGTATGGTATACACTTAACATATAAAAAAATCAATAGCCTATAAGCCACATATTTGACGATGGATTCATGACTAGAACAACTGAGAACTCGCAAGACTCAACAGTAAAAGGAAAGAAAGCATCCAATTAAAAAAGAAAGCAAATGGCCTGAAGAGAGATTTCACCGAAGAAGCTATATAACTGGAAAATAAACACATGAAAAGATGTTCAAAATCACTAGCCACCAAGGAAGTGCAATTTTTTTAAGGAGTGCAATTTTGCATAAGGAGCTAGCACTACACACCTAGCAGAATGGCTAAAATAAAACATAGTGATAACATCAAGGTGTGGAGAAACTAAATCACTTAAGCACTGCTGGTGGGAATGTAAAATTGTAATTTATACAATGACAAATTAGTTTTTAATGTTTTAAAAGATGTATATTTACATATAGCCCAACAAGTATACTCCCAGGGATTTACCCCAGAGGAATGAAAACTTGTGTCCACACAAAAACCTGTATGTGATGTTTATAGGAATTATATTTGTAATAGCTTGGAAACAACACAGATGTCTATCAATGAGCAGATAGTTCAATAAACTGTGGTGTGTCCATACTGTAGAATACTACCCAGTAATAAAAAGGAGTAAACTATGGATATATATAACAACTTGAATGACCTCAAGAGCATTCCAGTGACTGTAAAAAATCAATCGCAAAATGTTTCAGAATGATAGTTCAGTAAACAGTAGTGTGTCCATACCATAGAATACTCCCCAGTAATAAAAAGGCGTAAACAGGACCAGCAGTTGGCGTAATGGCTATGTCACTGGACTCCCATGTAGTCGACCATGGTTCGAGTCCCGGACCCGGTGGCTTAAACTCACGCCGGGTGCATGTGCGTGC